CCCTAGGGAACTGTGGGTGTAGAACCCCACCACTCTCACGGGAGCTGGAGGGTCCTGCCAGCTCCAAAAAGGGGTTGTCCTGAGGCAGGACCCAGACCCCTGAGTAAGGACCAGGAGGCAGAATGGGAGGGGAGCACATGAAGCTCCCAGGCAGAGGCCCCTGCTTTGCACTAAGGACAGGCTGCCCGGAGAGGGGTCGATCGGTGAGGGCGGAGGGGGAAGAAAACCAGCTCTGAAAAGCTGACCGACCTCTTCTCACAAACTGCTGCAGCGTTTTCTAGGACCAATATTGTGAAAGATTTGAACAGCTCTGAATTGTAAGCAGTTTGCAAAACTTGATTGGAAATTTACTCCAGAAATTGATTCTAGATGGATCTTACGTATGTGCATCCTCAGAAAACCAATGCAGTGTCCGAAATCTTCCCAGCTCCCTTGAAAGAAATTATCCCTAACTCGCTCTTCAGTGAGGCTCACTTCATAATATTGAACTGATGTTATCGAGGTTCCGGCTGAGAGTAGTCTTCTTCCAGCTGCCTGGACCATTAAATCCTGTTAACATTTTATTGGCATTAAGTCTGCTAAAATATATTCTGTTCTTGCATTCTCTAACCGCATGCTCTTTTCCTGATGGCTCAAGTTAATTCATTTCAGTTTCTCTTGTACATGGCTCAGGAATCCAGAAGCTTAACCCTCCAGACATCGCGCAGCTTTGAACTGTGCGTCTCGCTGAGCAAGGTTATTAACAAATACTCTTAAGTCCAGAATGCACGAGAGCTATTTTTATCAGCAGCATTGTACAGAGCTAGCAAAGTCTGCAATATAATTCACCTTGGAGAGGAGGAGCTGGAAGGCATTTGGTTTAATGAACAAGAATGGGAGTCAGGGGCTGGGAAGACGCCTGGCTCTGTCTCAGAAGTGCCACAATCAGCTTGCTGGAGGCATCAGAAAATCTGAAACCTTTCCATGTTTGTGGGTGCCTGGCAGAGATTAGGGCGGATCAACAAAGGCACTTGGACTTGAAAAAAAAAATAGCCTACCCTGGAGCCCTCTGAGCAGCAAAACAGGAGATATATACTCATTTATTTTGTATTTCAGATGTTTAATCCAGAGATACACAGACAGCTTTGAGAAATTCAAATCCACCACAGTAAACAAAGGCTTCTTGGAGTGGGAATAACACCACAGAAGGATTTGTTGGGTTGTGAGCAGAGGTGTGCTGCTGAATTACCAGGTCTGTGGGGTGGGATGGCGAGGGTGAGTCTGAAGGAGTTTTCACCGGGCAGAAATGTCCTTCACAGCACTGGCAGGCAGCAGAGCTGCTGGGGTGTTTTCTGGCAGTTTGGGGACTGGCTGTGATTTTAATACCCAGCTCCACAGAAATCAGCCCCGTCACCAGGTAAGAGGAGTGGCTGGTCCTTTATTTTTTAAATGTTCTGGGCAGGACCTTCACTAACCAATGTGCTTACTGAAAAGCTGGAAATGCTAGCACTGTAAAATAGGCATCATTGCAGCTAATATTTGAAGTACGATTGCAATAACAAGGTGCACTGAGCAAAAGGACTTTGCAGAACGCCGTAAAACTGGTGGGTTTGCCTTGCTGCCAGCAAACCCCAGTATCGATCGCTTCCACTTCTATACACTTGCACACTTAACTGCTGGGAACAAAGCTCTCAAGAATGCAGCAACAGCCTGAGTTTTACCTTTGACAGCTGAAAAACTGAGTTTAATTAAGGTGGTTTTTTCAGTTAGATTCTAAGTTTTGCCTTCTGTCCTTTCTTGAAGGGTTTGTTCCTGCCCAGGGCAGGGCTGGGACGGGTGGCAGCAGCAGCATCAGCATCTCCCGGTGGGGCAGTGCCCGAGAGCATGGGGCTGTCCGGCCTTTGTAAGAGCCAACCGGGGGCTACCGGCTGCCCCGCTGCACTCGTTCTCGGGCCCGCAGCAGCCTTGGGAGGCGGCCCCTTACAGCAGTGGGGTTTCAAAAACTGTCAGTCCCTGGGAGCCATTGTAAATCATAGCATCATAGAATGTTTGGGGTTGGAAGGGGCCCCTAGAGGTCATCTAGCCCAACCCCCCTGCAGGAGCAGGGACACTGCTAACTCCATCAGGTTGCTCAGAGCCCCGTCCAACCTGGCCTTGAATGTTCCCAGGGATGGGGCCTCCACCACCTCTCTGGGCAACCTGTTCCAGGGTTTCACCATCCTCAATGTAAAGAATTTCTTCCTTATATCCAGCCTAAACCTACCCTGGTTTAGTTTAAAGCCATTACCCCTTGTCCTGTCACAGCCGGCCCTGCTAAAAAGATTTTCCCCACCTTCTCCATCTGAATCCCCGTGCCCTCCTTATTTACTTGCTTATTAACGTAAGAACGCTGTAAGGAGCGCGTCGCGGCCGGTCCCCAAGCCGCCAGAAGACGCCCAAGCAGCTCTGCTCCGTGCTGAAGGCTCCCCCGGAGCCGCCCTCGCCCTACGGGCCCGGCAGCACCG